TTGGACGGAAACAGGCTTATCCTTTGCTTCTTGAGCTGCTTGTATTAAACAGCAAACATTTGAAACCAGCTGCATTTTGCTAGATGTTTTTTCCGGGACTAGAGAACTTACAGCTTTTGATTGTGCTAGAGGATTTTTAGGCCAGGACTTTATGTCTTGTATGGCGAGATTTTTGTCAACTTTTCATTGTTTATCTATAACGGACCACTCTTTTTTTTTCAAAAATATGTTGCCAACATTACCGTGAATTTTGAAGCACACTGCTTGGGTTCTTCAAACAAATTGTTTTGTCAATCTATTATTTTCAACATCCAAAACTGATACACCACGCAGTGCAGAAGACCGTCGATAATGCGTTATATAACAAAATCTTTAGAGTAAACTTTTCTTCCTCTTCAACTTCGCTCAAAAAACCAATAATTTCATATTGACATGTTTTAATTCAGACTTTTAATTCTCTGTCATAAGCATATTTAAAACCTCAATTTTTTTAAAAGGAAACTGTTTACCGCAAATCTTAGTGGGAGCAAAAGCTGAAAGTTTCATTGGGCGGAGGACCAAGCAGGCCGCATGCACTGCAGCAGCGCGCAGTGTAGGGAATAATATCCATCTCGCTGCAAGGACTACTGTAGAGTTGCAATACACAATCATAATAAATATGATGACCTGCCTGAATAGGGAAGTTAAGGTGAGTTGTAAATTTTGTGTGAAGTGGTTATGATTTCCTTACCTTTACGGGAAATTCTTGACTTTGACAATTTTATCGTATACCTACCATAACCTTTAAGGCAGCACTATGCGGAATGGCGGTGGCTCTCGCAATCAGCATATCAGGCAAAGTTGCAGGCAACTCCGAGGTTCTTAGGAGTTCGTGAACTAAGGGTATAACAGCACCTTGATTCACTTAAAGGAGTGTACCATAACTAAGGATTTTGAGTTCTTATCAGCTTATGATGCCCTACTCTCTGATTAAGTTCCCTAACTCAAAAGAGTAACTTTTTTCGGCAAAAAGAAAACTTC